TTGAAGACCCACATAATCTAAGTTCTGAGACTCAGAAGCTGAAATTATTCAGACGCAGACGGAGAAATTTTCAGAAGCAGATGCAGAAGCTGAAATTTTTCAGAAGCACTGTTTATATAAACTGTTTTGAATCTGAATCTTATTCAGACTCAACTGTGATCAATCATTTCCGCTATAGATTGATAAACATTGTTTAAGATCACCTATTCACCTCCCTCTAGGTGATCCTTGCTAGATACATCACATGCAATATGGTCTTCAACGCCCACAAAGTTCACAACTTCACAAGCTCTACATCAAATACATCCGTAGCTTATATTATATATCACACATGGGAGTTTGCCACAAGTTCACAATAGTCAGCAAGTAAACACAACAACAACTTTCCTATTCTCAGGAATCAAAAGAGCAAGCAACTTATTAAGCTTTGAGAGCTCTTTCACTTCAAGTTCCAACATCGTGAAAACAAATAAGTATAGATGAAACAATTCTGAAATAATAGTGTTTACAATTTACAGACACTTTGTATTGAAGAATATGAACTTACGCATGAATAAAAGCAGCAAACAACTTCTCAGGCTTTGAGTGCTCTAAAACTCCAAGTTCCAACCTCCTGAAAACAAAACAACAATACGTATAGATGCAAATGATCACACAACATTAGTTATAAATTAGAACTACAAATTGAAATCAAACAATTATTGAAAAATCTCACCACATATATTCATTTCGCTTCAACTTGTAAACTTTATGTACTGTTAATCTCCACGCTAACATGATCCATATCTAATAAAAAGAAGATATTAAATAAAGCATTCACTCATTAGATATACGAAATAATTACAAGATGAAAAGATATGGCATTACCCAACTCAAACTTTTCCGCATTCTCGATGCACTCTTCAACATTAATCGGCTCGATAACCGCTCTCAACCAATCTTGAGTGCAAATCAAAGCTTCCAAGACTCTAGGAGTCAAAGAACTTCTAAAGCCATCAAGCACACAACCAGATGTACTGAAGGTAGACTCTGAAGCAACAGTAGTTACAGGAACAGACAAAATATCTCGAGCCATCAAAGATAGAATTTTAAACTTTTGACTGGTCATGCTCCACCGCATCAAAATGTCAAGATCGCGAGCCTCTTCAAGTTCAGCTTTAAGATACCGATCGAGTTCAGATAAGTTGCCCTCAGACTTCTTTTTCTCCTCATGAAGAAAGGCTTCATATGATGGCTCTTGCACGTAGAAATCCAAACCGCAATCTTCCCCTTCATTTCCCTCATCGCAATAAGGATCGCAACTACTACCAGCACTAGTAGAACTCAAAAGTTGACCACCCAAATTCTTATCACAAGACCCAAGAGAAGATTTCTCATAAAATTTAAACAAACGTTCCATGGCGAACTTCACCTTGTCAAACATCTCATCAACTATTGCAATATCATCATAAATGAGTCTACAACAATACCTCACATAATTCATTTTTTTTCTAGGATCCAATGCTACAGCAATCAATACCATCATATTCACTTTCTCAAAACTCCCATAGTATTTGTCAAACTTATCTTTCATTTTCGCACCCATAACTCTCACCCTAGGATCGAAAGCCTTCGCCGCTTCTTTCAGATAATTGAATAAAGAAGCTATTCCCTCAAAATAATCATTTGAAGTGATATATAAAGTCCCAGACATCTTGTTGGTTGCATCATAAAACTTCTTCAAAAATTTGCAAAGAATAATGGCATTTTCCCAATCAACACTAGTTGGAGTATCGGAGCTAAGCTCAGTTGAGAAAGAAATATCTTCTTCATCCATCCTTTCAAAAGCTTTTCTTAGCTTTATGGCGGTGTCTAACATTAGGTAAGTGGAGTTCCACCTAGTGGAGACATCAAGATAAACTGAACCCTTATAAGTGATCCTTGTTTTCTCAATGCAATCTTGAAATGCTTTAGCTCTCATGGGAGAACTTCTCACATACCTAACAACGTTACGAATACGTGCAATAGAATCGCGTACCTCAGCTAAGCCATCCCTCACAATCAAGTTTAATATATGAGCCGTGCACCTCATGTGTAAAACTTCACCATCTAAGATCAAAAGTTTATCTCTTGCAAACTTTTCTTTCAAATAACCAATGGCAACATCATTCGAACTAGCATTATCCACAGTGATTGTTGACACTTTTTTCTCTATCCCCACTCGTAAATGCATTTCTCAACCATTTTCCCAATATCCCTACTCTTGTGACTAGGCAACACCACAAAATTGATGATTCTTTTGTTCAAATTCCAGTTTTCATCAATAAAATGTGCGGTGAGACATAAATAGTTCAAATTCTGAAGGGAACTCCATGTATCGGTCGTGAGTGCAATTCTAGAATTAAGCTTATGAAAGAAAGCCTTCAAACTCTTTTTTTCACAAAAATACAACTTCATACAATCTCTAGCCACCGTAAATCGCGACACATGCTTGAAGAGAGGCTATAATTGATTGGTATAATCACGAAATCCAACATGCTCAGCCATCGAAAATGATTGTTCATCAATTATAATCATTCGAACTAGCATTTCCCTACATTTCTCCTGATCAAACTTCCATGTCGTTAAAAAACTAGCACTTCCAGTACTAGTATTTCTCCTTATCATTTGATTCCCACATACTGTATGTGATGCAAACAATTTTTGCTTCTTATCTATATTGCGAGGATACTTAGGGCACTTTCTCAAATGTTTCAACATAGTTGAAGTGCCATTATCAACATGGTACAAATACTTGGTCCCACAATAATTGCAAAACATTTCAAGTTTCCCGTTCGCGTCAGTTTTGCCTTTACGAAAATGAAGCCAAGCTACTGATTTTCGCTTACTAGACTGAGGACAAGAAACGGATACCTTATCTGATGCCTCTTCAAAGTCATCTTCCCCTCCTCCATGTTCTAGTGATTCTGATTCAATTATTGGTGTTATCTCATGATTCTCATCATAGGATTTCTCTACTTCCATTGACATGTTAATAGATCACCTGCTCAAATCAAGCAACATGTCATTAACGGATAAAATTTAAGGTCATCAAGATTCAAAACTAAAGCCAGAAAACCCATTTAAACGACTCCGAAACGCAAAAAACGACGTCGATCACGGCGTAGCCGTGACAAAACTTGACGGGTTGGCTTGATGGGTCTTGTTAAGTCTCCCAACCAGGCTTGAAGGTGAAAAAACATTGAGACCATATAAGAGATCCCAAGCACTTGTTAACTGAATACTTCACAAAAAAAAAAGAAATTTACCAACATAGCAAACTTAATCGAACATAAAATACCAAGAATACCAATTCTAGAACACCAGCAGCTTGAACATACTAGTGACTGGTAAAAGAAAGCATCTTTTTGGGCATGGATGTTCCAAAATTTTGCCCCTAAAGTTCTACCATGTTAACAAAAGTATAAAACTGAGAATCACTCGTGAGATAGGAGAGCATGGCTCATAATCAAGGCAAGCATTTATAAAACTGCACAAGTACCAGAATGTTTTTCTTTTTATTCAGCAAGCTTGATGCAATTTAGCAGTTGCTATTGTACACAAAACCAAACTTTTAGAAGGGTTCAAAACAAACCTACAAGATGCAAATCACCAAAAGAATATCGGCGTAAGAACAAGCTAATCTCACTTGTGTTCTCTGTTCGATTCTCTGGTCTTTTTTTCTACTGTCGAGATTTATTCAGCAAGTCCAAGAAGAAGATCTCTTAATCACTGGCTTCATCTGCTTGTCCTCTTCCAGGGAAATTATTCCCAAGTGCGAAGGATCCTCCAGCATCATCTTCGCTACCAAATATCCTGCTATAGACCATGTTTGGTACTTTCTTGCTTGCTTGCCAACATATCTACCCGTTTTACCATCATAAAACAGAGATGCTACCGAAGACCCATCTAAGTGCATCATTTTGTAAATGATTTTTAATGGGTAGTTTCTCCAACTAAACTACCCATTTACAACCCACTACCCAGAAGAAGAAATGCAGAGGAAAACTCGGCGAATTTGACCAACCCATGTCGAGAATCGCACGAAACAGAGACGCCATCAAGCACCGAAACATGCGAAAGAGGAATTCACACGAAATAGAGATGCGATCGAAACACGCGAAAGAGGAATTCATGCAAAGATAACATCCAAAGCCCAGAAAGTGCGCGGGTTTCTTCGCACACGTACACCCCCACATTCAGCGAAACGAAGCCACACCCCGCGTAAAATCGAGAGAGCAGCAAATGCAAAGGACAACCGGCTAGAGAGAGATAGCGAGAGAGCAGACCTGGCAGTCGCAGTGGAAGAGATGGAGACGGAGACCGGCGGACCCGACGGAGACGGAGATCGGGCGATGGAGATGGAGACGGTGAGAGTCGGAGAGGAGAGAGTATTGGAGATTGAGACTTAAGAGGCGTCGACCAAGAGTGACTGAGTGAGCTTGTATTGTGAGAGAGTATCCTGATTTAGGGTTTTGAATTTTTTAAATTAAAAATTAAAAATATTATATTATATATATTATACCGGTCCGGTCCGGGTGGACGGGTGGGCGGTTCCACACCCGGAACCGGGAACCGGACCGGTACCCACCGGTTCCAAAAAATTGGAACCGGGAACCGGACCGAAACCCTTAGAACCCACCGGTCCTGGTCCGGTTCCGGGCGGTCCTGGGCGGGTTGGGCGGGTACCGGGTTTTTTGCACACCCCTAGTAAAGCACACAAAAAAAATAGTCATACTCATACATGTTTTGAATTTCTATAATTTAATTTGTACTATATTCTAATAAAAATGCAACTTTTTTGGATTTTTTTTATAATAAGTACATGAGTTTATAGACAATAATAAATAACCAAAATTATCCAATACCGAGAAGCCTATTTCCGTGGGTAATGTTGTAAATAACCAACACATCCGATGGCATTTTATGATCAACGGCACCAAAACCCTAGCCGGATCCTCGTATAAACAACTTCTCTCCCCCACCTTCCCACACCTTCGTCTCCCTCGCTCCCGAACCCTAGCTCTCCACCTCCGCCGAGAAAACCCTAAGCCATGGCGGCTCCCATCGAGTCGGTGCAGTGCTTCGGGCGCAAGAAGACGGCCGTCGCCGTCACCTACTGCAAGCGTGGCCGCGGCCTCATCAAGATCAACGGCGTCCCCATCGAGCTCGTCGAGCCCGAGATCCTCCGCTTCAAGGCCTACGAGCCCATCCTCCTCCTCGGCCGCCACCGCTTCGCCGGCGTCGACATGAGGATCCGCATCAAGGGCGGCGGCCACACCTCCCAGATCTACGCCATCCGCCAGAGCATCGCCAAGGCCCTGGTCGCTTTCTACCAGAAGTTCGTGGACGAGCAGAGCAAGAAGGAGATCAAGGACATCTTGGTCAGGTGCGGGAAATGGCCGGAGCTCAGCGAATTTTTTCTCTCTTTCGGCCATTGTTTTGCTCTCAACGGATCGAAAAATGCCATCTTTTTTGGGTGGATTGTCGATTGCTTTTTGGGGGGTTGATTTGGGTCGGTTTTGATGCAGGTACGACAGGACTCTGCTCGTGGCTGATCCTAGAAGGTGCGAGCCCAAGAAGTTCGGTGGTCGTGGTGCTCGCGCCAGGTTCCAGAAGAGTTACCGTTAATGGGAAACTCGAACCGGAATCGGACAAGTGTTTCTCGTGCCTCATTGCTTTTTGTGTTAAGGATTTGCAGAACTTGAGGTTTTACCTTAGTTTTGATGCTTTTGCCCGTTATGCTAATAGAATTTGTAGTGCAATTTTGACTTCTGAAGTGCCATTACATTTCCTATATGCGCTCAATGTGTTTGCGTACTTTAGTTTTGATTTGGAAGCTGCTTCTTAATAGTTTTGTGATGTATGTTTTCTTGTGTGCATTAGTCACTGATTACTGAGTTTCTTTTATTAGGTTTTCAGAACAATTATGTTGTGGGCAGTGCAGTGATAGCGATGAGGACATTGATTTTGCACTGTCTGTAAGTTATGGTCCCTACTCGAGCCAGTTGATGTTTGGGTTTGTTTGGTATTGGATTATGGTTTTCCCTTACAGTAGAAGTTTAGAAAAGAACAGGTACCCTTTATATAGTTCTTGAAGCTTTATTATTCAGTTGCACTTGCACCTAGATCGGGAGACAATTCCCTACGGTTTTGCTTTATGGGTTGTGTTGTTTTACCTCAGTAGCTTCAAGTCTATCCTGGTTTTCCTTTAAATATCCTCTCTGGGCGTCATAATGCTCTTTTGCGGGTTTTAATTCAACTTTAAATCCAGAGGTGCCCAATAAACTTGGGGGGAGAAGTTGGGAATACTACCAAAAGTTTGAACCGTCTAGGAGCACAACAAAACAAAGCAATTCGTTTATAAGGTTCCTTGTCCATTTGCGTTTCGGGGTTGATTGAGTAGGTTTTTATTAATGGAAGGGACATTGTCGTGCTTGTGATCTTGTCAATCTTAGTAGTTTGAGATCTTGCACCAGGTTCTGGGTGTTATATCTTTTTCCCCTTGAAGTGAATCGTAATTCATTCAGATGTGGGATATGCATATGCTTGTCTAAAAGGTGCCTCATTGGTTTTTTCTGCTGCAAATTCATTCATCGGTGATGGAAGGTTGGAGCTTTATCCTTTAGTAAGGGTAAATAAACTCTAGGTCATGTTTCTTAATTACTGTAGGACATCTGGAAACTTGTGGTATCCATTATTCTTTGAAGTTGTTTGTCAAGGTTATTATATGAAGCACCTAGTTTAGTCGTTCAAGCATTTTGTACTGGAGTTGTTTAGTATTACACATTGCAGCAGTGGATGGTGGGCACGCTTCTGTCAAAAAATTTCTTTGCTGTCCATACCTATGTTACTGGCTTTTCTTCTCTGCGAATGATTATATTTATTGAATGAACGTGGTGACAATGCTTGGATGGGCACTAGGCTCTTCTAGTTGTGCATTTTGATCCTGCGTCATGTATTGCTATTTACTCTCATTTCTTATTGGGAAAGCGTTTTATTTTAAAACTGTGGACTCTACCAGGCTCTGGTGCTTGCTCATCCTCATTATGCTTTATCTGGTGTTTGTAACTTGTTGCTTAGCCCATTGCCCTGAAGATTGAAATCTAACATGACCGTTTCATGTCATGGATGGAATGAAAGTGAATTTGTTAGTCGAATGATGGTTGATATGGGAAGAGATTGTGCTGCAAATTGGAATATCGAATGATGTGGATAAACTTCAATTCCTAGTCAAAATCTGCCAGATTACTTAATTTCCTCGTTATTTTTTGCTAAATCAGTGTACATGGCAATTTTTCTTTTTTCGTTTTCGCTGACAAATCTCATCTGTGACAATTTCTGAAATGAGAATCATTATATTGAGTAGGTGGTTTATCTCTCAATTCCCATTCATCTTCATGGCTAAATGGCCCGTTCACATTGTTAAGACAAAGGAAGGACAAAAACTCAATCATCTATTCAGTTCTGGGTGCTTCTTGTTGATTTAAAAAGATGGTATAATCTTTCTGTTGAAACAAACCGAGGTCGTGTTTGAGTGAAGGCATGGTGATCACTACCACAGCGGTTGCCATCTTTAAGGACTTGGGCCATTGCAGCGTTGGCAAAGGACTTGGGCCATTGCAGCGGTCGTCGGCCTAAGGATGGCCAACATTACAGCGATGGTAGAGAGAGAGAGAGAGAGAGATGAAGGCAAACATCATTGTATTGGTCGCTGCCTTGGGTTGCCCCCTGCGTCGGGGTGGCCGCCTGAGACAGACCACTATAGGTCGATGGTTATGATCGGAGATTCATAATCGAACGAGAGCAAGTGACAGAACGCGTGAGAAGATAGACTGCGGCCACACGGTGGTTGCTGTGTCAGAGGATTGGGACTGCCTTAAGTCGGTTGCTTAGCCGAGAGATGGTGATCGCCTCGGGTAGTTTGACCGTTGATCGGCGTAGCTTCCCGCCTCCTCAACCTCCCTTCGTTTTCTTATCGTTCTCTACTTTCAATTCATTGTCCGACCAAAAGAAAACATTCCAATTCATTGATCTTGACATTTATCCGAGTCATTTCCGGTTCATATCTGGACGTGTTTGGCCAGAAGACAATCCCAAGGGGCAGATAGAAATGCAAAACATCATGTTTGAGCTTTAATTCCGTATTAGAAGCAAAAGTGGTTTCAAAAGAGACCTAATCAACGGTCGGATGTGGTCGGGAGTAAGGCCTAGATGTCCTTATTTTAGGTCCATTAATAATTTTAAAAAATTAAATTTAGGAAATCAAATGTGTAGTTCATTTGTTTTGTGAAAAAATAATGATTTAAAAAATCTTTTTCCAAAAATTGATTAGTTTTCTCTCTTAAAAATGATGAAAAATATTTTCGCCATTGACAATAATATATATCTAAATAGTTTCATGGATGATAAAATTATTTTCCGTTCGTTCACTTTTTACAAAACGATACAATCGATCGTTATTTGGAAAATGTTTTCCAAACCGTGGGTTTTTTTCGTGAAAAAAACACACCCCTACCTTAGAAGATTGGGCTAAGAATGAAACAAGTTGCTCAATTTTTTTCTGGGAAAACTACTACGGGAATTCTAAACCTATTGCACTTGTGTTAATTCAGTTTTAAACCTTTCAATTTAACCAATTGAGTCATAATCATTTTGATAATTTGCCAACGTAATCCATTTGGCCATTTTGGTCGGAAATCGCTAACGTGGATACTAGCCGTCCTATGTGGCAAGGCTGGCTGTGGATAATTTTTAAATAAATTTTTTGAATTGTTTTCTTTTTTCTTTCTTTGTTTTTCCCTCTTCTTTTCTCCAATAGCCGATGGCTAGCCGATCGCTAGCCATCGGCTATGGGCGATGGCCGGTGAGGGTTGGCCTCGCTTGAGGGTGAGCCACAAGCAAGGGTCAGCCTCGCTTAGGCGAGGGCGAGCGCCGACAAGGCTCCCCTCGCCAGATTTGGTAAGGCCGACCCTCGCACAAGCTAGAGCGGCCTTGTCGAGCATCGCCTGGGTGAGGGTCGGCCTCGTCGAGCCTTGCCCTCGCCCCCTTGGCGGCATTCGCCCTCGCCGAGCATTACCTATGGCTGGTGACCTAAAGAAATTTTTTTAAAAGATTTTCAAAAATTATCCTTGTCGGTGATTTTCAGCTAAAATTAATTGGATGGATGCTAGCCGTCCTATGTGGCAAGGCCGATGCTTATGTGGACAATTTTTAAATAAATTTTTTGAATTATTTTCTTTTTTGTTTCTTTGTTTTTCCCTCTTCTTTTTCCCAATAGCCGATCGCTAGCCATCGGCTATGGGCGATGGCCGGTGAGGGCTGGCCTCGCTTGAGGGTGAGCCACAAGTGAGGGTTAGCCTCGCTTAGGCGAGGCCGAGCACCGACAAGGCTCCCTTTGCCAGATTTGGTAAGGCCGACCCTCGCACAAGCTAGAGCGGCCTTGTCGAGCACCGCTTGGGTGAGGGCCGGCCTCGTCGAGCGTTGCCCTCACCCCCTTGCCGGCATTCACCCTCGCCGGACATTACCTGTGGCCGGTGACCTAAAGAAATTTTTTTTAAAAGATTTTCAAAAATTATCCTTGTCGGTGATTTTCAGCTAAAATTAATCGGATGGACTATATTGGTAAATCGTCAAAAATTTTATGACTAAATTGATTAAATTGAAAAGTTTTGGACTGAATTGATACGAATGCAATACGTTTAAAACTTTCTTCGTAATTTTCCTATCCTTTTCCACTCGACGTTTACGCCTAGCGGACTCGGCCAGGTCCACGCGCTACCAGACGAATTATCAAGTCTACCTAATCCATCTTATCGTGGAGCAAACATGACTTTATGCATTAACTACCATCATGCGGAAGAAAGACATTTGATCCATGATTGTCTCACATGTGCAACGACCTCAAGCACTTTGATAATAAAATCCCAAACCTCATAATATAATCTTCAAAGGGTCGTGCTTTCCTACAACCCTAGTTGGAGGAAAATATAATCTATTTTTTTTTCCAAATATCCCAGGTCTCGTCCATCTTACATGTACATTAAGGTTCCGTTTGTTTCACGAAAAATGAATAATTCGAAAAACGTTTTCCCAAAAATGATTATTTGTATCATTTGAAATAATTAGTTAATGAAAAATATTTTCATTATAAAGAACTATATATAGATATTCATTTTTGTAAACGGTCAAAATATTTTTCATTCATTCTTTTTCGTAAGGGATACAAGCGATTTATTTTTAGGAAAATATTTTTCAAATCATTCATTTTTCGCGAAACAAATGGACCCTAACTTTAAGACTATTGTCATCATAGTAAGTAAGATCAAGCCGATTATATATGGCTAATGATCCCAAGTTTGTCAATTACGGCCCGCGACAAATTTGCAAAAATAATTTTTCTTGCTACAATTCAAATGTAGCTCCATTGTAAGCCAAATCAGTAACTTCTTTTCAATCCTTAATCATTCATTTGAATACAAATACGTACTTAATGGTTCGAACAACATATAAGACAGAAGATGGGAAGAAGAAAATAAAAAGGAAGGAATAGTATCGCCTGTAGTTTCTCATTTTCCATCAACGCTTGATTCCGGTGTAATCAGCTGATCCGGCGGCAGAGGGTGATGCCGTCGCCGACAGGAAGCATGCAGATCTCGATCCTGGGGTCCACGGCGAGGGCCTTGTTGAGCTCCAGCACGAAGTCCCGGTAGTACCGCACGTACTTGCGGAGCGGCGCGTCGGGGGGCGCGACCACGGAGCCGTTCCACAGGGTGTTGTCGTAGCCGATCAGGCCGCCGACCTTGACCAGGTCGATCAGCCTCTTGTGGTAGTTGATGTAGTTGTCCTTGTCGGCGTCCACGAATATGAAGTCGTACGTTCCATGGTTCTTCTCCTGCGTTTTGCATCAAGAGGTATACGTTTTCAAGGTGAGGTGCTTGCTCTCGGCCGTCAGATCATGCGGAACCAATGTCCGGGTCTACTTGATTCGAAGGTCGTGATGCATTGGGTTAATATGCATTCGGGCCTCTGATTAGTACTCATCTATACATCTTGTACACATTAAGAAACAACTAGACAGAGACATTGTGCCAATCTACAATTTTCTCCTCTCGTCGACGACGCAATCGACCCATCAAAATCGTTCCACCTTACAAGGAAACGGGCTTGATCATCATATAAATTACGTTCATTTTGTAAGAGACGTATACTATATTAAATTGGAGGGAGAGTCTACTTAAATTTAAGAAATTGGGAAACTTTTTTTTTTTTGGCCTTTTTCCTTTAGGTTTGCTTTATGTAGAGTCTAAGCTTGCCAGATAAAACATGCTTGGTTATCCATATTTGACCAAGTTGTCTTCAATGACCTATGACCATTGTATTTTGCCTGGAGCATCTTTGGAAATATGCTGAATTGGGGTCATTTCTAGGAAAAGGACTGAACATGTTTTGAGGATTGAGAATGCATTAATTTTTGCAAATTCTGCACACATAGAGCCCAACAGAGCGAGATCAAATAAGATGTTGAGCTACATTCGCTACTTACATCTTGCACGAGCTGATCGAGGACCGGCATAGCAGGGCCTTCTCTGAAATCGATCTTGTGGGCGAGGCCGGCCTTCTGGATGACAGGCAACCCGATCTCGTAGTTCTCCCTGTTGATGTCCAGGGCCAAGATCTGTGGCAATAGCAATACACAGGGATCTCAGAGGCTGCCAAATAGTCATCAAGATTTTCCTGAATTTCTAGTTTTTGCCTGGCCAGAATCAGGGTTTTTAGAGGCTGTTCTTTTCACCATCTTTATGGTTCAGTGTAAACAAAGCATGGTTAGGCAAAGTTGGTGACCAACCATTTTGTCTTGAACTCAGAACATTCTTTCTAGAGTGCTAAGAATATTGAAACCTCCCAATCATTGATTATTGATCACAAGCTACATTTGTTTCATTACTCAAGTCAAGGCTGCCGAAAATTTCGAATGTCGATCTGACCTTTCCGTCATCGGGAATAGCGAGGGCAGTGGCGAGGAGAGAGTAGCCGGTGTAAACCCCGATCTCCATGGTGTTCTTGGCATTGATGAGCTTGAGAAGCATGTTCAGGAACTGCCCTTCATCAGCCGATGTGGTCATCAGGTTCCTGTTTCAATTCCCACCCACTTTAATCACACCAAGCCCCGAGATCCAATAACAAAAGGAGAGCATATAAAGACAGGACATTCCACATCAACATCCACGACACAAATCCTGGAAGAAGACCCACCATGGGTGCTTAGCAGTCAACTCCCTGAGCTCCTTCATGGGCTCTGGCTCTCTTGGGTAGACACTGGTCTCCAGTATATACTGCAAAAGAGACAAACCCAGGTCAGGATATCGAGCCAAGATCAGCTGTCGAGCTCAACCCAATCACGGGCAGAAACGATCTTCTTCCAACCTGGTAGAGAGCATCGCTCTGCAGGAGGCTCTTGTGGCCGACTTCCTGGTGCCTCCCTGCCGGGCTCTGCTGAGACTCTGCGTTGGCGGCCATTTGGTTGATTTTCTCTAGCTCCTTCTCCTTCCTTCTTGCTGGTGATCTCTTCTGTAACTTTCCAAACACTTTGGTTGCTCAGTTTTTGCTTTTGTCCTTCTCATGTTCAATCTGAGGATGGGGGGAAGATATAAAGGGGGGCGGGGAGAGGTCGGGCCGGTTCGAACCGGGTAGGTGGCGTTTAGACCGCCCACCACCGGGCACTTGCCGGTCGGGGGTTGGTGAGGTGCTCGGATGGACCAATCATGGGTCGCCAGGTGGGCCCACCGAGCGATAGGGCCATTGACCTTAAAACTGTAATCATTCTGGTTTGATGCTTAACAAAATGAAAATAATTTATTATTCGTTTATTTGTTTATTTGTTTATTTTTTTTTCTTTTTTGCAATGCAATCATATGGCAAGTCGTTGCACCGGCTCGGAAGAAGTCATGAGCTTAAAAAATAAATAAACTTTTTTTTTTACTTTGTCACCAAAATTTACAGTGCTTTTCGAGTTTCTATAAATCACGATAAATACGATACCGAAATCTACTTGTCAGTATCCGTATTTCGCGAAGATTTCGACTGGTCCGAATTTTGAAGAAAAAAAGTAAAAGTGCTTTAATCACGAGATTTTTTTATTAAGTAAAAAACAAAAAAGACAAGACTCAATATAGACGGATCCTCGACATACTGAAAGAAGAAGAAGAAAATGACCTGTTAATTCTTAAAAAAAAATTAAAATTGTGAAAGACTGACCGTTTCAATCAATGTCAGTCCGGTGCTCTGTGCGGTTCCTTTGACCAACTCAACCGATTCTCTGCTGCCCGATTCAACTAGTTCGAAAGAGCATCGATCAATAATCTAACTCGATAGTCGGTACGATTTCGAAATCCAATAGTAGTTTCCAAAATCCATCTTCAAATGCTATTGTAATGTGTAACTTGGGCATATTCAAATAGTTCTATCTTCGCTTTTAACCAACAATGAGAACCTAGCAGCTATTTCTCTCTCTCTCTCTTTTTATTTGGATTTACCAACCACTTTGTGATTAGTTTATTTTTGTCGCAAAAAATTAAAAAAATTAGATAGTGGTGGGACCCACCACTTGTAGGTGCATGTGGGAAATAAGTTGGTGGGAATAGTTATATATATATATATATAATTTATTTATTTTTTATTTCCTCTTTCCCCCCAACCCCAGCGAAAGCAAAAGTTGGTGAGCGGTTGGTGAAGACTAGACTTTGGGATTGGGTTGGGCCGGAGTTGGTGGCCACCTCTCGCAGACGCGCATGACAATTTTTTGTTTTTTATTCTTTTCATAACTTACAGCAAATTATCAAAAAGAAAATAGGATGGTCAAGTTAGATGAAATACAATCTCAATTTCAAGTAGAATTTCAATGGAACTTCATAATTTGATGAGCAAACTCGTTTATAGCATCTGCTAATGATTACCAAAATGTTCATTCCTCACACAATTAGGAAGATCCATTATAAGAAAGTTCAATCTATGCACGATCTGATGTTTACATTTAACACATCGAATTGATAAATCAAGATTTGTCATTTTTTATGTTCGCCACCTCAATAACAAGTGTATCTCGAGAAGGGTATGACTAATCAGGAGTTAGAATAATAATATTGTTGCGTCAAAAAGTGTTTACAGAGCACCTTTCGAAAATATGAATCGATATGAAAATCGACAAACGATGTAAGGGATACTTTGTTGATCCTTGGAAATGAGACACGGATTGATGATAAAATTAAAAGTATGAAGACCGGAAGCAATCGCGGCCAGCCATGTAAAAGGATACTGGAATGTAAATATAAGGTGAAGATAAAATTGAACAACTGGTGTTCATTAATTGATTGGCCGTCCCTTGCTCAAATTACAATCCGAGTACTTATAACTACTAGAGACGATTAACAACAGTTACAAAAGAAAGCAAATAACATCTCACATGAATCTTAGAATTTAGCAACGAGTATTTACGATTGATTTCCAAAAGACCCACTACTCAACAATCATGGCCTCATTGCTCGGCCCACGTAGACATTTTCTTCCACATCTTGTAACTCATCTTCCTAATGGTTATAACCGCCCATGTTTCACGGTCATTATCATTTGTGGCTTTTGAGATTTACAACTCCACGAACCGGTAATCATGTTGGATTCACAATTCAATGGGTCGCTATGATTGTAGCCAAAATTGTTGGCTTCATGACTTGAACATTTATTTTGTTCTTGATTTTGATTTTCACTTCAGTTTCAATATCTTTGTCCATTGAACCAAGTTTCATTTATTGCCACTTGTAGCTTAACACTTAGTAATTTTCTCTTAAATCACCTATTGGTAACTCCTCATTGCCTTTGCCGATTACCTATAGTTGCCAACCAAAAGAACTAAGCAAATTCTACCTAAAACATGCCTTGTTTAGTCTTATCCGGTCCGAGTCGATGGTTAGGGAATTGGTTAATTTTTGGTATCTACATATGTCCCCATTTTAAAAGAAAAGAAGAGTTTCCGGTTCTTTTAAATATTCACATTCAATCATTATTTATAAGCTTGAATGGACGCGAATTTAACACAAGTACCTTCTCACTTTGTACTTTTTCGCTGGAAACTCCACGTCAGCCTTGCCGGAGGAGTCTATTCATTGAGACCAGCACGTCATCAATGGTCACACCTTTTCTCCGGTCCCTTTCCACTCCCGGATCATCGTCAATCTCCAGTCTAGTTATTCTTGGCCATTGTTTTTACTCTCTCCTTGTTCCAACGACTTTCTATCGATGTTTTCCCCGCCATCACGAAGAAATTCTCCACCCTCTTTCTCGATGGCACGGAGGTTCTCAGATATAATCGTTACCAGTTAAAATTTTCGCGAGCCATCGAGGGCAAGCCAGTCGTGCTGCTGTGGATCATCTGGAAGAACTCCTTCACCAACAACAGAAGAAGATCGATGAGCTCTCTGGCGGCTGTGAAAGCCGATATCCATCGGTTCAAGAACGTGTATCAATCAGCTGTCAATCTGCCAAAGATTATGACAAGCTGGAAGCGCATCTGTCATATTTTGCAAGCGCCTTAAAAGATCATTTCGGCTTTATGTAATCATCTCATCAGTGGAAAACCTTCTTCTGATAGCTCTTTATTGTTCTCTGCTTTATTCCTTTGCATTTCGCCCGTAGTCGGATAGAAGACTTTTAAATATTTTCCATTTATCGATCGAGGCAACATTTTTCTTTCTAACTCCATCAGACGGTAAGCCTTGCCACTCAACATGTCAAGCACTTGGTATGGACCTTCCCAAGTTGGAGACCATTTACCGCAGTGGTTATCCTTAACATTGGTCGGCAAAATAGTCCTCCGTACCAAATCACCAATGGCAAATTGCTTTCCCTTCTCATGCTTGTTGTAAGCCTTGGCGGCGCTTTTCTTTTGTGCGATAACATGTTCTAATGCCGACGCTCGGACCTCAGCCAGCTTATCAAGATTCATATACATTGACTGCTCGTAATCTTCCTCTAGTATATCACTTTGCAGCTTAACTCCTAAATATTGAACAATCTCAAGAGGGATAACAACTTCTTGTCCATATGTCACCCTGTAGGGACTTACCCGTGTATTTGATCTTTTCAAAGTTCAATAAGTCCGAAGTACTTCATTCTCTAGGATTTTCTTCAATACTTAAGATTGACAATAATCTTATTCAAGGCTTGAGCTTCACCGTTCGCTTGAGCATAATAAGGTGTTGAATGGATCATTTTGATGCCTCTCATCCTTACAAAATCTAATACTTTTTTACCAGTGAAAACAGATCCTTGATCAGTGATAATTATTTCGGGATTATCAAATTGATGAATGATTCTCTCCTATAAACTCTTTCGTTGTCCTCTAAATAACTTTTTAAAAGAATTGCTTTGACCCATTTTGTAAAGTACTAAAATAAAACTATGTTTTTTAGTCGGTGGATATATTTTACTTATCAGATCCATCACTACAAAAAAAACACGAAATTTGCGACGAACGTTTTTCCGTCGCAAATTTGCGACGGATTACATTTTCCGTCGCAAATTTGCGACGGAAAATAAACCGTCGCAAATTTGCGACGGAAAATACAATCCGTCGCAAATTTGTCGACGGAAAAACGTTCGTCGCAAATTTCCGACAGAAAATAAAACCGTCGCAAAATCCATTGCAAATTTGCGACGGCATTGTAAGTCCGTCGCAAATTTGCGACGAAAACAAACGTCTGTCGCAAATTCGTAGTTTATCAGGCCGTGATATTCCAATCCTATCTCTCTCTCTCGCTCTCTCTCGTTTTTCTCCCTCTTTCATATGTCTGAAATCAGCAAAATCCGCGCACACACATATTAATCTCGATGAAGCTTTTGTACCGGTAAGTGTCATAGCTAGCTTTGTGACTATTCGTCGTTGCATTGTAATTTCTTTTTTTTAATATATGTTTATGTTTGTTTTTTTTTTTGGTATCTGCATCACCGGTTTAACGACCGGCGACCGGCGACACCTCGCCGGCCTTTGGATGAGGCCGAACGGCCACGCCGTTTTGCGACGGAAATAGTTTCCGTCGCAAATTGCGACGAATAAATGAAAATTATGTTGCAAATTTGCAACGGATACTAGGTGCCGTCGCAAATTTGCGACGGATACTAGGTGCCGTCGCAAATTTGCGACGGATACCTGATTCCGTCGCGAATTTGCGACGAATAAATGAAAATTCCGTCGCAAAATTTGCGACGGAGTTGAGTATCCGTCACAATTTTGGGACGGATACCCTATTCCGTCGCAAATTTTGCGACGGAATAGGGTATCCGTCTCAAATTTGCGACGGATACTATGTTTCGTCGCAAATTTGCGACGGATACATTCCGTTTCCATCGCACATTAAAAATTATTAAAAAATGATTCTTAAGTGATTATTCTTTTTTGGGTATGTGCCTAATTGAAGGTCTCGCAATCTAAGTGGACGTTGCAATTCTCATCAAATTGATCACTTTCTCCTACAAATATTTCAGTCAAATATTTGGGTAAGTCTTCTTTACATTGTAATTTTTTCTATTTTTGCAATTTCATATTAATTGTTGCGTGAATAACAAAAATTATAATTTCCAAAATTTTGTGATTTTAATTAAGAACAATAGATATGATATTTTAAATATTTTACCAGAGTTTTTTATTTTAATACAGACACAATGCAAAGAGAAAGGGCTTGGATGTATAATAAGAACTTACCTGGACGTCAAGGATTGACAGATGAGTTTCGTACTGGGTTGGAACTATTTTTAGACTTTGCTAGTAGTAAATATGAGTTTATGGATGGAAATAAGTTAAGGTGTCCGTGTAAAAAGTGAGGTAATGGTAAATTTCTTGTGTGTGATCAAGTTAGAGAACACCTTATTAGATTTGGGTTTACTCCGAACTATAATAATTGGACTTCCCATGGTGAACCATTTATATCTGATGAAGGATATGGAAGAAGTGACCAATTTTCAGTTAGGGAAGAATGTGGCTATTATGAGCAATTGAACCCATACGAGAGGATGGTGATTGATGCAGCTAGTTATAATTTTGTCACAGAATCAAATCATGCAAGTACTAGTTTTACTCCTACACGTGAACAAGTGGGTACTAGTCATGCTTCACAATTGGAAGATATAGGAGTAACGGGTTTTGAGGAGAATGTGTATAATGAAACTTTTCAATCTAATCAGTTCTGGGATGTCTTGAAAGCAGCAGATGAACCTCTATGGGCAGGTTGTGAGGACCACACTCAGTTATCGGTGACAGCCCGACTATTAAATATCAAGGCAGAGCATAATGTGTCTGCGGATTGCTTCAACTCTTTTGTTGAAGTAATGCGGGAATCATTGCCTCGCGATAACAACATGCCAAGTGATTTTTATGATATGAAAAAGCTAGTGGATAACTTAGGTCTTCCGGTTGTAAGAATTGATGTATGTAGTAGGGGTTGTATGATATATTGGAGAGATGATGAAAATGCAGAATCTTGCAAATTCTGTAGCCAACCTAGGTACAAGATTAACAGGAGGCCGGGTCGTAATCAGAAGCATAGACCATGCAAGCAAATGTTTTATCTGCCCTTAATCCCCAGATTGCAAATGCTTTATGCGTCTAAAGCCACTGCTGAACACATGACTTGGCATTCAAATCATGAAACAGAAGAGGGTCTAATGTGTCATCCTTCAGATGCAGAGGCATGGCAACATTTTGATAGAACATACCCTGAGTTTGCAATGGAGCCTCGGAACATCAGGTTAGGTCTCTGTGCCGATGGATTTGCTCCATTTGGGAAAACAGGAAAAAGATATTCATGCTGGCCAGTTATCTTAACGCCGTACAATCTTCCACCTGGTATGTGCATGAAGACACCTTATATGTTTTTGACATTGATCGTAACAGGGCCGCAAAATCCGAAAAAGTTGATAGATGTTTATATGCAACCATTGATTGAGGAGTTACAACGGCTATGGGTTGAAGATGTCCCTACGTATGACGTTTCTACCGATCAAACATTTGTTATGAAGGCTGCCCTTCTTTGGACGATAAATGACTTTCCAGCTTACGGAATGTTATCCGGATGGAGTACATGGGATCTTAGGATGTCCGATATGTTTGGAGAGGACAAAGTCATTTAGATTAAAACATGGAAAGAAGCCTAGCTATTTTGGTATCACTGAGACAATTTTTATCGCCAAGTCATCCTTTCGGAAGGAATAAGAAAGAGTTCATCAAGAATAGGACTGAAAGAACGCGTCCACCATTGAGGTTGACTGGCGATCAAATTTGGGAGCGTGTGCAGGACTTTCCAACTGTTGTTGAGAACCCGCACGACACGACTTTTGCGTACGGAAGTACACATAAGTGGACAAAACGCAGTATAATTTGGGATCTACCATATTGGAAGACCCATCTTATTCATCATAATCTTGACGTCATGCACATAGAAAAGAATGTTTTCGACAATGTCATAAATACTGTGATGGATGTCGCCGGAAAAACAAAAGACAACTTGAACGCAAGAAAAGATATGAGAGATATTTGCGATCGGCCAATACTAGCTGTGGATACAAGCAGCAGGGGACCAAAACCGAAAGCAGTTTGTACATTGGATAAGGAGCAGAGGCGAGTTGTTTGTCAATGGTTGAAATCTGTGCGGTTTCCTGATGGATATGCTTTGAACCTCGGGAGATGTGTTGATTTGAATGAATGCAAGTTGACAGGTTTGAAGAGTCATGATTGTCACATCCTGATGGAAAGACTAATTCCAATAGCTTTGAAGGAAGTTTTACCGAACTTTGTATGGGGCGCCATTACAGAATTAAGCAATTTTCTCCATGATATTTGCTCGACAGTGTTAAAAGCATCGCACATGGAAAAACTAGAGAGAGATATTCCAATTATTCTTTGCAACTTAGAAAAGATATTTCCTTCAGCGTTTTTTGATTCGATGGAGCATCTCTTAGTTCACTTGCCTTATGAAGCCAAAGTTGCAGGTCCTGTCCAATTTCGATGGATGTATCCATTTGAGAGGTAATGTTTTCTTTAAAATACAGTTCAAATGAGTTTATCATATAATATGTCCCGATAAGCTTCTTTCTATTTCAACTAGATCTTATATCATTTGAAGAAAAAAGTGAAGAATAAGGCACATGTTGAAGCCGTGCCGCCGCCGACCAGCCTGCCACCCGCCTCCCAGTCGACGGCCGAGGCTGTCGCCCGGCCCGCCGCCGTCGCCGCCGCCCGACGCCGTCGCCGCCGAGCTCCACCGTCGTTCGCCCGGTCGTGGCCGAGCACCTGGCCGACTAGTCACCATTTGAGCTCACGCTTGCGCCGGGACCGCCACTGTTCAATCGGCCGATTTTTATTGTCCTTGAACCAAGTAAGTAACTCTCTAAACCCTAGTTAGTATAATTAGGTAATTAGTTGGACTTGTTTAAGGATTATTTAGGATCACTTTTCGTTGGCTAAGTTACGGGTCGATTTCAGGATTGCATGTGTCTTTGATCGATGGTCGACTGGTTAATTTGTCTATTATGTTGATGATTAAGCGTTAAATGACGATAAGGTGATTGATTAAGCGTTTTCACAGAAAATGCTTGAAAATTGAACAATTCTATAAAAAATCAAGGAAAATTATGGAAAATGAAAACAACGGTATATGTTGGCAACAAATATGAAATTTGACCGTAAAAGTTTTTTAAACTTTTTTAAAAACAAAAATTTCATAATATCACAAAATGGCAAAAATTAATAGTGATCACCCATTTTCAATGAAATTTAGATTTTTTAACGTTCCGGGGAAAAAAATATTAAAAAATTAACAATTTTCATAACCTTATAAAATGGCTTAACATAAATGTGGTCACCCATTGTGAGGGAAATTTTTATTTTTTTGGGTGAAAAAAAATTTAAAAAATATAAAATTTCAATACTGCACAGAATTGCCTAGAAAATATGTGGCCATCAACTTGCAGTGAAATGTAAATTTCTTTAGATGGCCAAAAAAAATTAGAATTTAAAAATTTTCAAAACTTTACGGAATGACTTATAATACCTATGGCCACCCATTTTTAGTTATATTTAATTTTTTTAACGTGCCCTAAAAATTATTAAAATAAATAAGGACAAATTTTGGAAACTTTACTTAATAGCTTAGACTACCTGTGGCCACCCAATTTTAGCATGGACAAATTTTTTTATTTCATGAAAAAAATTTATATTAAAAAATAATAATTTAAAAATGCTTAAAATTTTAAAATTTCAAAACTTTACAAAATGTCTTAGAATATCGGTGGCCACTAACTTTTAGTTAAATTTTTTTTAGGGCCCAAAAAAAATTTAACAATAATAATAATTTTTTTCTTACAAAACTGTACAGAATGACTTAGAATACCTGTGGCCACCCACTTTCAGTGAAATTTAAATTTTTGTACGTTGTCAAAAAAAATTTAATCAAAATGAATGCGATTCATATAGTGATGTTTAATACTTGTAGCCACCCAAATCGTGCTCATACATTGATGTTTCATATCAAAATGAATGGGATTCATAGTATATTTGTTTGTAGGAAATTGCACGTCATAAACACTCGACATTGACTCATTTCAAGAAAACATTTTCTCAGTCTTTCCATCAAAATGGTAAGCTTTGTCATGTACATCATTATGTGTTCGTAATACGTGTCAATAGTTCTTTACATATTCGCATAACCTTCCTTCCTACATGTCAGTATAAACGTAGAGGTCACATGCCTAGAAGACAAGGCTCTTCCTCGTCCTCGTCCCCATCCCTTTCCTCTTCCCCTGTCCCGGCATCTAACCCTCAACCACAGTATGGTCCGTCACAATATGGACACGTTGGCCCTTCCTCCAACACTCAACAACATGTTACGGGACTTGGCCACATGCGAACTGAACGTTCTCCAGTTCAATCTCCTTTAGCTCCCTCTCCTTCCGTTCCACCCCATTATTCGGCGGAACAATCGAATATTGACGGAAACAGAGGTCAAGAAGATAACCGATTCTTCATATGTCCATTTGGAGATTCGTAAGTACTTCATTTTTATTTTAGTATATGTAATATTTAGGGTTTTAGATATTGATGTCAATTGAATTGTCCATGTTGCACAATATTCATATGAATGCAGATTCACGGATGCTCCGTCTGTTGTGAGGGAATTGAACAAAATAGTTAGAAACTTTTGGATGGGAGAGTATATTACTTACAGAAGTGTTCCACAAGAAGTGAAAGAAATGTGGCGGAATGAGTTCAAGGTAAGTTTTACATATTTTATTTTCTCACCAATTAAGTATGGTGTAGTATATTGATGGTCAAGAATAATGTAAAGGGACCAGAACAACTCTGTAGTTTTCGATACCTAAAGGACCAAATATTTTCCCCGACATGAACTTTACAAAATCTGTCTATATTTGTCTGGTGCATGGTAATGGATATGTAATCATCATAATAATTTTCAATTTGTGTTTTTATTCATTGCAGCGGAAGTTCAAGTGAGAGGAAGCGGAAGACAATGAAGTAAGAAGAATTTTCGATGAGAAAATAAGTGATTTTATGCGAAATGTCATGAATAGAGCGAAGAGCAAGCAAGCGAAGCCGTCTTTCTTTACAGCTGACAATTGGGAGGCAATTAACACATTTTGGGCATCTGAACAGAGTCGGCAACTCTGTGAGCAGAATAAGAAGAATCGATCTTCTAGTTCTAGTGATGGGTCAGCCACATATGCTGGGGGCTCTATCAACATTGCGGAGCATCGCAAACGACTGGTAAGTCTGTTAAATGAGTTATAAGTTAATTTAATTCAATTACTCATGTTTACATTTTGTAGGCACATGAATTGGGGACGGAACCGACATTTGCAGCTACATTTGAACGCACATTTCAAAAGAAAGATAAGACATGGACTGGCGATCGAGCAAAAGCTGTTAAGGTATGTAAGGTTATACTTTGGCTTATATGTAAACTATAATGAAAACCGTGAATGCTTTCAATATTTTTGGTAGATATATATATATATATATATATATAGTGATTTATTTTCATCTACATTGTTAATGTAGGAAAAATATGATGAACTTTTAATGAGCAGTGCTAGTGGTAGTGATGATTGTCCTGAGTCCCGGCCACCAGTTGATAATATGGCATTATGGATGGAGGCAACAGGTGGGGCGAAAAAAAGGGAAAATATTTGGGATGGGATCATTATCAAGGATGTACATGCCGAATAGTCCTGGAAGTTCATCATCCATTGGGACTGGTCAAAGGAGGTCACGAGCAGACGAGCAATTGACCCAAGAAGTGAATCGTCTGAATAATTTACTTGTTAAGAAGGATGAACGAATACATAACTTGGAACAACAAATGAGAATCGTTATGCAACACCTTAACATCAATCGCTATGACGATCCTCCTGTACCTCCAGCCAATCCAGTAGGTGATGGGTACAATGATGACCAAGACATTGATGCCGAGAATGCTGATGATGATGATGATGATGATGATGATGATTTTCTCCGGTCTTTCTAGTTAAAATTCTCAAAATCGGGGGTAAGCTTGCTTCATAATCTTGGTTTTTCATAATTTCACTCATATTCATATGTAAGAACATTTATGTTCGTCCCGAAACGTATTTTTGTTAACCCTTTTGTTATTTTACACCTAGTTCCACATCCATGCATAAACGCTTTTTTTATATTCTTGACTGATTTATGTATCGACATTTCCTCAGGTCTCGACAAAAGTGACTACTTTTGGTGTCCTGCCATCGTACCAAAGCTGCGTCTTCTTCTGTATGGTTTTTTTGCGTCTTCTATGGTTGTACCGTCTCTTAGTTCATGTTTTGACTGTATTGTAAGATTGGATATCAAATAGTATCATGTCAGACTCTACAACTTTCCTTCTGTTATTTGTTTCAATTATATGTCATTGTGGCTGGTTTGTCAGAATTTATGGTTTGTTCGTTTTTCTGTTTCAATTATATATCATTGTCTCCTTTGATTGATATGGACAAGAATTTATGGCTGAAATGATATAAAAATAGCGACGAATATTTTAAGCCGAATTTTGCTATCATTAAAGTTTGTCGCTAATTCGCGACGAATTTTCTGACGAAATTCGCGACAAATTTTACGACGATTTTGCGACGGATTTTTGCGACGGATTTTTGCGACGAATTTTGCGACGGACAGAGTTCGTCGCAAATTTGCGACGAAATTTGCGACGGATTTTTGCGATGAATTTTGCGACGGACAAAGTGCGTCGCAAATTTGCGACGAAATTTGCGACGAATTTGTGACGGATTTTTGCGACGAATTTTACGACGGATTGAGTTCGTCGCAAATTTGCGACGGATTTTTGCGACGGATCGAGTTCGTCGCAAATTTGCGACAAATTTGCGACGAATTTTGCGACGGACAAAGTTCGTTGCAAATTTGCGACGAAATTTGCGACGGATTTTTGCGACGAATTTTGCGACGGATTTAGTTCGTCGCAAATTTGCAACGGAACATTTGCGACGAATTTTGCGACGGATTATATTCGTGGCTAATTTGCGATGAATTTTGCGACGAATTTTTGTTCGTTGCAAATTTGCGACAAACTTGTGAATTTTCCGTCGCAAAATTTTGGGACGACCTAGTAGCGACAGAATTTTTTCCGTCGCAAATCGAATTTGCGACGGATTTTTCCACATTTTCCGTCACAAATTTCGTCGCTAATCCGGTGTTTTTTTGTAGTGCATAGCTCATCCCCTAAACGGTCATGGTTTGACTGTAGGATCTAAAATTGATGCAGGGACGTGCTGAATCGGTCCGTTTATCTGACACGACTTGTGCCCCTTAACACAATTAATGCAATCTTGGGTAATTGTAGGCCAATAATAACCATGCCAGGGTAATAACCATTTCATCTTAATGTTGGCTTGGTGCGCACCACATATTCAGCCATAGCTAACATCGACTCCTGCATTCGACTGTCCATCTATATAAATTATCTCCGATCGTAACATATTTCAATTCTTTTCTTTTGAATATTTTGTCTTTCGATCAGCTAGGGTCATTTAAGTATTCAACAAAAGGTGTCCTCCAATCCTCTTGATTTTCGACTCGAGCATCACTTACGTCGCCCATCATAACTCTATTTTCAATAGATGGCAACGTTTTTACTTATGTTATTGTGGTCTCAGCCATGTCTTTTGAAATTCTATAATCCCAAAGCCATCTAGGCCAACTCGTTTTCCCTCCCCCTTGCTCTTTCTCTCTCCTGGTCGTCATCGTCCACCTCCAACATGAACTCGTCCATGGCTGACGAGTTCAAATCCGTGATCGTTCGCCATGGACAACCTCAAATCCGAGGTTGTTCACCATTGCTGACACCGCGAGAGTATCGTCGGCCTCGGGCAACCCCAAACTTAAGGTCAGATTCGAACTCGGGTCAAGCGGCAACCAATCACACCCTCAAGATGCTCTCTCTCTCTCTCTCATGGTTTTTTTTAAAAATTATTTTTCTTATGTTTATGGATTCCAAAAAATAATATTTGCATGCGGATGGCGCATAAATGAAAGCTAGTATATGAAAATCGGAACATATGATAAGTTTCAGGCATACATACTCACACTTGTTTGTACACTAGTTTAATGAGAAAATTACCAAAAGAGTCCTAAACCTATTGCAATTGTGCCAATTCAGTCCTAAACCTTTTTTTTTATCAATTCAGTTCTAAAACTTTTGCATTTGTGCCAATTCAATCCATCCGGCCAATTTTGGTAGGTCGGCGCTGACGTGGACGCCTACCGGCCGGCTGATGCTGATATGGCAATTTTTTAAATTATTATTTTTTGGAATTTATTTATTTATTTATTCTTTTCTTTTCTTTTTCCTTTCTCCTTTTTTTTCCCTTCATCTTCATCTTCAACCTTTGGCCGATCGCCGGTCTGGCAACTGGCCAGAGGAGGGGGCTAGCGAGGTTGGCCCCGCCAGCAGCTGGCGAGGCCGACCTCATCGTTGTTGGGCGAGGCCAACCTCGGCAATTGCCGGCGAGTTCTAGCCTTGCCAGATCTGGCGAGGGGTCGTCCTTGCCGTTGTTGGCGAGGCTTGGCCCCGCCGATAACTGGCGAGGTCAGTCGAGGTTCGACTTCGCCGTTGCTGGGAGAGGCCGACCTCGCCAAATCTGGCGAGGGGTCGTCCTCGCCGTCGCTCTGGCAAGGGCTCGAACTCGCTGGCGCTGGCGAGGTTGGCCTCACCTAACAACGGCGAGGTCGAGCCGCGCCAACGGCTGGCGAGGCCGACCTCGCCGGCTTTCGCCTCTGGCCGATCGTCGGTCCGGCGACCAGTCAAAGGTTGAAGATGAAGATGAAGGAAAAAAAAAAGAAAACGAAAGAAAAAGAAAAGAAAAGAAAAAATAAAAAAATTAATAAAAAAATTCGAAAAAATAATGTTAAAAAATTACCACTTTAGCGTCGGCTGGCCAGTCGGCGTCCACGTCAGCGCTGACCGGCCAAAATTGGCTGGATGGACTGAATTGGCACAAATGCTAAAGGTTTATGACTGAATTGATACAAAAAAAAAAAGGCTTATGACTGAATTGGCATAATTGCAAAAGGTTTAGGACTGTTTTGGTAATTTTTCCCAAGTTTAATTGTAAGCTTTCGGCACGACGTGAATACGAATAAATGTAATCATTTCAGCTGTCTTTTTTTAAGACTAATGAATTTGTATTATGAATAATCTTTTAATAAACATCTAAAGATTAGAAAATCATAGATAAGCAAATGGTTTCATATTTTTACCATTTTTGCCCGAAAATGCTTGGTGTTTTGTAACAATCTATCATCGAAACATGCTTATTGTCTTTTGTAGCGAACGCATATGCATTGAGCATATTGTCTTTTAATCTAGTGCGCAATTTGTTTTAACACACAAAAAATCTTTGAAAATGTCCGCTAATAATCTATTTTCATGAAAAAGAAAAGAACCAGTAGAGGAATGGTCATGTCTACGCTTCGTTCTCAGCGTTGCAAGCGCCTTCCATGAATCCTGGATTTAGGATTCCCATCGCGCGGAGGGCGAGAGGGGTCGTTAGGCATGATTTCTTGTTCAGATATAGCTAGAAAAACCTCTTAGGTAGAACATATAAAATTGATGGAGGAAAATTAGTCAGGGAAAATTATCCAGAAAGTCCTAAACCTTTTGCACTTTTGTTATTATAGTCTTAAACATTTTCACATTTTGCCAATTGAGTTTATTCGACTAAATTTGGCTAGAATTCGTTGACATGGACGCAGGCCATTGGACGTGACATGATTAGCGCTGCCGTATAATTTTTAATATTTTCTGGTTTTCTTCTTTTTTTTCCCTTTGACCGGCCATCGCCACCACTAGCCATAGGTGATGGCCGGGTAGGCTGGCCTCACCTGGGCGAGGGTCGCCGCTGTCCGCCACAAGCGAGGCCTGGCCGGACAAGGGCGAGCTCCGGCATGGGCTCCCCTCGCGAGATCAGGCGAGGCCATCCTGACCTGGGATAGAAGAGACGATTTCGTCAAGTGATGTGGGAATGGGTGGTGGTGAAGGCCAGGAAGCAAAGAGTCAATGGGTTTCAGAGGATGGTTGGGCCGAACAGTAAATCCTAGACCTTTTTATGTTTTGGGTCGGGATAAATCCTAGACCTAAATATGAGAAGGATGAAGATACGTCTCCTATTGAGAGCACCATCGTCCTACAAGAGATCAAAGCCTAGGACTCGGCTCATCAGAAGGCACTGAGCCCGGTCCAAGACCAATTAGTTCCTAGCTCATCCGGTCGACAAGGATAAAGGCGTCGGAATTGATCAGAGCTTGGATGCTAGATTCTTTTCGTTGCCTTCTAAAGAGTTATTTCATGTTTTAGTAGGTAATAAAATAGAGATAGAAGATTCTCGAAATTAGTTTTTATACTTGACTTGGTCCTTTTTCATACAAAAAACGAAGGGTGGTTCAAGAAATCTTAGGTGTTGTTCCACGGACAAGGAGACAGAAAGTGAGCGTGGCACGAGGGTGTATTTGCAGGCGGTGACCCCTTGGGATTGGATGACGAACCTTCGTGACGGTGCTTTGCGTGTTTCTGATTTTTAGTAGGCGATAATCCCACGTTAGATGGAAAATTAATTTTAGGTAAAATGAATCACGGAGCTGCGGTCTAAGATTTTTCGTGAGGCAAAAATTCGTTGGGGGTAAAAATATTCTGGAACCGGTTTTGGGATTTTCAATGTATTAACCTAATAATATATTCATCATATACACCTAATTTAAGACTGAAACAGAACCCTTGTCGCTCATTGATGTCACGAACCCCACTCTCTCTCTTTCCTCATCCTCAAGCGCCTCTCCCCTTCTTCCCCAACCCCTAAACCCTACTCTCTCTGCGCCGGTAGACGCTACTCTTCCGCCTCTCCCTTGCCTCCTTCGCCAGAGCCGCTGCCGAAGCCTTCCAACCTCTCGACTCGCCTCAACTTCGTGTCTGACCAGATTGACGCGATCTAGAAGGAGCGCAAGCAGTCTCAGAAGGACGAGACTGTCCAGAGGATATGCACCTGGCGTGAGGCGAAGAACGCACCCCTGTCGAGGAACGTGGGCGCCAAGACAACCGGAATCGGATGGGGCATCGGGCTTGGATGATGATGAAAAGGATGAGTTCAAGAGAGGAAGTCGGTTTGCCTGAGAGCGAAGTGAGGGGTTCGAAAGGAGGGGGAGTTGGTGCATCCGTGGAGAGAGTGGGCTGAGTTGATGGAGAGGCTAGTGCATCATAAAGATTAAGGGGAAAGGAGTAGCTCTGGAGAACACGACGAAGAAGTGAGAAAGATGGCGAAAATCACTTTCCCCAATTTTAGAAGAGTATTTTCTGTTAACTAGAAAATATTTGGTTGGCCGATAATTGCGGGGAAAATGAACTCGCAAGGAAACGCCATGTACTTAGCAGACACACGCCTTAACCACCCGGCCAAAGAGATGTTTACGATTATCCCTGCATAAAGAATATATAACTCTTACCTTACCAAAAAAAAAAAAAAAGAATATATAACTCTTAAAAAGTTTTGGTTGAGTGGGCTTTACACTAGTTGGGGATACAATCCTCTTGGGCTTTTTAAAGAATGAGACTTGGAGCATGACAACTTGCCAAACAGTGTTTGATTACATTCTTTTGTTAGAATCGGTTTGGGAGCAATGCGTTTGTTTAATTTTTTGATTTGGGCACAATTTTATCAAAAATTGTTCCCGGAATCGATTTTGGAAACGAGAATCAAGAATAAAAAAAAGTAGCTTCTTGATTCTGGGAACAATTTTGAGAATCAATTTTTTTTTCTTCTTCCTTTTCTTTGTTTTTAATTTAGCTTTTAATGTCCGGCCCGAGGACCACCCTCGCCGGATCCGACGAGAATAAAATATTTTAATAAAAAATATTATTAATAAAAAATATTTTACCGGCTATGGCCGGCGACCAGGCCATGACCATAAAAAAGAAAAATATATATTTTTAATAAAAATATTTTAATAAAAAATATTATTAATAAAAAAATATTTTACCTGCCATGGTCGGTGACTAGGCCATGGCAAAAAAAGAAAAAAATATATATTTTTAATAAAAAATATTATTAATAAAAAAAATATTTTACCGGCAATGGCCAGCGACCAGGCCATGGCAAAAAAAAATAAAAATGTATATTTTTAATAAAAATATTTTAATAAAAAAAATATTTTACAGGCCATGGCCGGCGATCAGGCCATGGCCAAAAAAAAGAAAAATATATATTTTTAATAAAAAAAATATTTTACCAGCCATGGCCGGCTTACAGGCCATGGCAAAAAAAA